TTTGACGACGAGTTAGGTTTAGAATCCTTGCCTTGGAAACATTCTAGAGTGTATTTCACTCTGTTTGTCACGCGATTAAATTCCTTGCGAAGCTCAAAATTTGACACGCGTGGAACGTGTGTGGATCTCACAGCGAGTTGGCTTTACATATTTTGGTGCCCGCAATGACGTCATCAAGTTATCACTGTTTTTGCTGCCGTTATGTCTATCAAGAAATGCGATGAAGTTTTAGACCATAAGTTTCCAAATAAGAGCGAAGTTTGAGATAAAAGAACATTTGTCAGCGCATCTCACTTTGCAGAGAAACAATTCATGTGATATATTGCTGGTTTTCAGTGTCACGCCATTCAAAATAGATCAAAATAAAAATCAAAACCGTTCAATAGATAAAGTCCAGAATCTGGGAAATGAAAGGAGGTACATATACAAAGACCCTCGCCAAGATTCAGGTCAGAGGAATATTTCCTATACGAGATATCTGAAGAAATGTTTTACCCAAACTTATAGAGATTTGTATGGAGACGCCATGCTGGTGCTCACCTGGATGAGTTCCAACATGGCGGACGGAAACCAACAGAAACATCTGTTACCGAGTTTTGCTACAAAAGCGTGAATTTATTCTTCGAGAAACTCATAAACATTAAAGTAATACTTTTTCTAATACATGAACTGTTTAGATAAAAAAAATTACCGGAAATAAGTCATTTTTAAAACCTAGTGACAGCTCTCTTGGCCGTCATGTAAATGCCGCGTCACGCAAAGGCTTAGAAACTCAAGCGTACTCTATCACAAAAGCAAGAACCCTTTTCAAGCGAAAATTTGTATGAAAATTAGTTTTCGGCTGCTCTAATGCATCGTGAAAGTAAAATCTTGGTAGGATCGATAGTTTTTTAGTTTGAATTTTAGTAACTTCATGTGAAAACCAACAATATACAACGAGACAAGCCCACACCAGTGCATTTAAATGAAGACAGTCGAACCCCTATGTGCGACCACCTCACGTAAGCGACCATCTCCCATAAGCGACGATTTTTCCGTCAAAGCTCTCTATAATTAGAATCTCTTGTAAACAACACCTCTCATAAGCAACCCTGAGCACTTTTGAGAGTAGTTCTACACAAGTTCTTCGTTGTTTCAACCTTCTGAAAGCGACCACTTGACATATGGTCTGATCTCTATACACTGTATCTACCTCGCTGCTCAATGGATATGAAAAACGTCACAACATATCAAACTTATAAATTGCATGCAACGAATTCTCTTCCAAAAAGTATAGGGCCTCTTCTCGAAAGAGATCTTCTGTTGTCCTAGTCGTAAGGAGGGGGACATTGGGGGGTACCCAATACCGCAATACCGTAAGAAAAAATGGCAAATACCGAAATACCGCGTCGAAAATCGTCTAAATACCGATACCGCATATTTTAATCACATTCATAATCGGTTCCGCATACTTACGGGTGCTTCCATCTAGGGCGTTAAATTATCTCAGGCATTTGCATGCACCAGATGTCCATGTTTTTTTTAATATTTTGGTAGTTGGCAAATTTTTGGCAAATTTTCACTGAAAAGAACCTTTTGGTAGGTCGACCCAACAGCTAACTAACTCCAATAAAAATAACTCTTGAAAGGGCGAAAAAAACAAACAAACAAACAAACAAACAGACAGACAAACCAACCAAAACCCTTTCCACGCCCGTCTAGTGCGAGTTTGGATGAGTCTATAGTCTAGTACTTCAGTATCTCAGGGGTCAACTATCTCGACTGTCTCACACGCTGCGCCGGTAAGAGGCAAACTTACCAAATTTTCTCTTTTAACTTTACAAGGCGTTTTTCAATTCTCGAAACCCGCCATCTAAACTTACTCTTGTTGCGATAATGCTCGCCTCCTTCGCCCTCTTCATAAAAAATTGCCACACAGTCAATGATGACCACGCCGTCTTCGCCGTCTCAGCGACCTCAGTCATTGTGAGAAAACGTGTAAGACCTCGAATTGCCGGCACAGGTATAGTCTGCTACACAGCCGTTTTTAGTGTCGTCTAGCCTGCAGTGCAGGCGTTTTCTTGCTCGCGAAAGCGCGATGTTGAAACTTCCCGAGGAGAGGAGGAGATAGGGCGAGTCAAAGGGAGCGGGGAGGGGGTGGGGAGAGAGAAGAGAAAACGCCTGCCCGAAAACACTGTGAAAATGAGAAACACCCCCTAATTAGACGCGCGTGACGGCTCTTCCGGAAATGAGTAGCCGACAATAACAAAACAACCAAACAGTTGCTCCAGTCCAAAGACTCGCATTGTCTTAAGAATAACAAGCTGGAGTTTATCATTGTTTTTATCTTGACCGAGTCACAATGCAATTCTCCACAGCTGATGAAGCTTCAGTTTAAGCTGCAATTCATTCTTCTAAATTCATCTCTGTAAATAACTATCCGTGAGAGTTTAACATCCTACAAACATTTTTTTTAAAAAAAAACTAACGAGCTGGGCCCAGCGTGATACAACATTGCAGGAAAACATCACATTCTCGGACTAATAAGAAAATCGCTTAGTTATTCAGATCCTGAGACACTTTGGACAAAAATAAAGAACCTAACAGCCTCATTTAGCGAAAAAAGATCTTTACGCTTCAAAAGAGGTTAAAGAAAACGCTCTGGCATCAGAGGGCAAATCATGAAGATCAGAAACACCACAGAAAATCAATAAGCGTGTCATGACCTCTCAGTGTGAAACAAGCGGCTAAAATCACATTTGTTCTGTCAAAACATAGAACCCTCTAGAGAGCATCTACTCGCCAGAAAAAAAAAAAAACGTTTTGGAACAAGCAGCATTTTGGCATGAGGTAAAAGTGGTGTAGGTACTGCGAGCAAATCTTGTCCTGATGACCAGTGTAAAAATAGCTTTGACTTTCTCATTGCGTAATACACGCGACATTCCCAGCCGCTCCAATTCCAAAAGACTGACGGAAACGGAATAAACAATATAGACTTACAGTTAATTGACAGGCATCAATCTACTTCCCTATGCCGCTAGTGTCACGCCATTCAAAATAGATCAAAATAAAAATCAAAACCGTTCAATAGATAAAGTCCAGAATCTGGGAAATGAAAGGAGGTACATATACAAAGACCCTCGCCAAGATTCAGGTCAGAGGAATATTTCCTATACGAGATATCTGAAGAAATGTTTTACCCAAACTTATAGAGATTTGTATGGAGACGCCATGCTGGTGCTCACCTGGATGAGTTCCAACATGGCGGACGGAAACCAACAGAAACATCTGTTACCGAGTTTTGCTACAAAAGCGTGAATTTATTCTTCGAGAAACTCATAAACATTAAAGTAATACTTTTTCTAATACATGAACTGTTTAGATAAAAAAAATTACCGGAAATAAGTCATTTTTAAAACCTAGTGACAGCTCTCTTGGCCGTCATGTAAATGCCGCGTCACGCAAAGGCTTAGAAACTCAAGCGTACTCTATCACAAAAGCAAGAACCCTTTTCAAGCGAAAATTTGTATGAAAATTAGTTTTCGGCTGCTCTAATGCATCGTGAAAGTAAAATCTTGGTAGGATCGATAGTTTTTTAGTTTGAATTTTAGTAACTTCATGTGAAAACCAACAATATACAACGAGACAAGCCCACACCAGTGCATTTAAATGAAGACAGTCGAACCCCTATGTGCGACCACCTCACGTAAGCGACCATCTCCCATAAGCGACGATTTTTCCGTCAAAGCTCTCTATAATTAGAATCTCTTGTAAACAACACCTCTCATAAGCAACCCTGAGCACTTTTGAGAGTAGTTCTACACAAGTTCTTCGTTGTTTCAACCTTCTGAAAGCGACCACTTGACATATGGTCTGATCTCTATACACTGTATCTACCTCGCTGCTCAATGGATATGAAAAACGTCACAACATATCAAACTTATAAATTGCATGCAACGAATTCTCTTCCAAAAAGTATAGGGCCTCTTCTCGAAAGAGATCTTCTGTTGTCCTAGTCGTAAGGAGGGGGACATTGGGGGGTACCCAATACCGCAATACCGTAAGAAAAAATGGCAAATACCGAAATACCGCGTCGAAAATCGTCTAAATACCGATACCGCATATTTTAATCACATTCATAATCGGTTCCGCATACTTACGGGTGCTTCCATCTAGGGCGTTAAATTATCTCAGGCATTTGCATGCACCAGATGTCCATGTTTTTTTTAATATTTTGGTAGTTGGCAAATTTTTGGCAAATTTTCACTGAAAAGAACCTTTTGGTAGGTCGACCCAACAGCTAACTAACTCCAATAAAAATAACTCTTGAAAGGGCGAAAAAAACAAACAAACAAACAAACAAACAGACAGACAAACCAACCAAAACCCTTTCCACGCCCGTCTAGTGCGAGTTTGGATGAGTCTATAGTCTAGTACTTCAGTATCTCAGGGGTCAACTATCTCGACTGTCTCACACGCTGCGCCGGTAAGAGGCAAACTTACCAAATTTTCTCTTTTAACTTTACAAGGCGTTTTTCAATTCTCGAAACCCGCCATCTAAACTTACTCTTGTTGCGATAATGCTCGCCTCCTTCGCCCTCTTCATAAAAAATTGCCACACAGTCAATGATGACCACGCCGTCTTCGCCGTCTCAGCGACCTCAGTCATTGTGAGAAAACGTGTAAGACCTCGAATTGCCGGCACAGGTATAGTCTGCTACACAGCCGTTTTTAGTGTCGTCTAGCCTGCAGTGCAGGCGTTTTCTTGCTCGCGAAAGCGCGATGTTGAAACTTCCCGAGGAGAGGAGGAGATAGGGCGAGTCAAAGGGAGCGGGGAGGGGGTGGGGAGAGAGAAGAGAAAACGCCTGCCCGAAAACACTGTGAAAATGAGAAACACCCCCTAATTAGACGCGCGTGACGGCTCTTCCGGAAATGAGTAGCCGACAATAACAAAACAACCAAACAGTTGCTCCAGTCCAAAGACTCGCATTGTCTTAAGAATAACAAGCTGGAGTTTATCA